CGCGGAACCAAGCTATGTATACATTGCATATATATTTAAAAACACAACGCGGTTATTACCAGATTGTTACATCATCTATACCATTTTTCTCACCCAATGTGATTACACTCACACATATATATTGTCTGTAGCTGGGGGAGCAGTATATATGAATGAAAATAAAAATAATAAGAACATTATAACGGTTAATCGCTGGAAAAAAAACCATGGATTTAATAAGATACCTCCAAGGAATAACAAAAACATTTTGGCAAAGCGTCCTGGTTTTATTGGAACGTTCACAGCCATGGCTGCGCCCTCTAGCGGCTGATAGCCATAAGCATAATTCTTTGCCAAATTCTGCTAGGAATGAAAACACCTTTACACGACTTGTTACTTTCAAAAAAATAGTTTTATTTAGGAAAAGTACAGACCAATTTGAACACTGCAATTGGTAAATAAATGCAAATACACCGTTCTTGTAAGATACGAGTTATTGGTAAATAAATGTAAATACATCGTTCTTGTAAGATACGAGTTATTGGTAAATAAATGCAAATACATCGTTCTTGTAAGATACGAGTTATTGGTAAATAAATGCAATTACGCCGCGCTTATAAGGTACAAGTTGTTGTACATAGGGGAAATTCTATTTTAGTTGTTGAAAGTCACGGGACAACCTGGCAATATCATGAGTGCTTGTGTCTGTGCGTATCTTGAGAGATCGACGCAACCCATAAAAATAAAAGATCTTAAAAGCTTAATAGGAAAAACAAATTAATGATAGTTACAGGATTCTCCCAATGTAGAGGTGATAGCTATCATATACCTGATTTCTGTTTTGCCTTATTTAGAAACGTTGCCAGGGGTATGAAGCACGTCATTATTTTAATGAAATTGTCTGTTTTATTTAGTTTATTTTTAATTCCTATTTCTTGAAACATCTCCCCTCTTTCTTTATTGACAAATTCACAATCTAGGATAAAATGTTGTTTAATGTCTTGTTTGTATTTGCACAATGTGAATGAGGGGTTTATTGTCAAAATATATACAGGTGCTTGTATGCCTATTGAAACTATACAAAATTTGACCAATGCACATCCGATTCATGTGTTAAAAGAACATTGCGATGTTCTCATGGAATCGTTAAATCTTGGTATCATTCCCAACTGTCACCAAACCGTACGTTTTGACGACTCATATGCACTTCTGGGACTTGTAATACTTTTCTGGAAACTGTACAGCAAATCACATATTTTCCTTATTAATTGTTCATAGTTTTTCTAAATTACAGTTTTTATTGTTCATAATTATTTACAGTAATAACATATTTTTTCGATTGTGTGCATGACAGCTTTGTCCACACACAATAAGACAGGATATATACAGATATGTGTGAGTATGTTTCATGGATTAATAGGCCACTCCATTGCTTCAATTCCAACTACATCTCTGGAAATATCACTTGCTGTTTATCATCCATATTTTGATATCTCACAATGTGTGGATTGCTTCTACCAGTCATTTAAGTCAACTCCCATATCGTCCTGCACAGTGAAGGTTAATGCAGATATATTGTAAATTACACAGAGGTAACACTACAATACATTTCCCTTCACATTCCCCTGTATTACATAACAATCTTTGAGCTGAGGCAGTTATGGTTCTACAACCGTCACCAGTTCTCTAGTTAAAGCTTGGTAACGTCTCAGTTTGTACTCGTTGATCTGTCTCTTTTTACCTCCATGATCTGTGCAACAATCAAAGTCGCCATCTTTGTTTATATGAGACGCATATATCTCGCGCATGCGTGGCGCGACGGCTACCGCCCTTTAAAATGGACCTAACCACGACAAACTTGCCTTGCCTCATCAGAAAGTCATTTAATGTTATTATTTTAACATTTTTTACATGTCATATGCCAGGTTTATTTACAACTCTGGATATTCGATTAAAGCCAGAGCCAAAACCACATGGTATTTTATCAACAATGCCGGCCAAAACAAAAAAGGCCATGGGTAAATCATTGCGGTCACAGGTCAACTCGCACCATACCAACTCGCACCAGACCAACTGGCACCAGACCAACTGGCACGAATCATTGTTGTGTACGGTAGAATTAATTTTAATTCGCGCATTTTATACCAGTGTAATAATTGCATCGG